GCCGCATTTGGAGTATTTTGTGCAGTTTTGGTTGCCACATTACCAAGAGGATATGGAAGCTTTGGAAAGAGTGCAGAGAAGGTTCACCAGGATGTTGCCCAATCTCGAGGGCATTGGTTATGAGGAAAGGTTAAAAAGACTAGGACTGTTTTCACTGGAAAGATGGCGACTGAGAGGAGACTTGATAGAGGTCTACAAAATTATGAGAGGCATAGATAGGGTGGATAGTCAGAGGCCTTTTCCCAGGATTGAAGTTTCAATTACAAGGGGGGCACAGGTTCAAGGTGAGAGGGCAAAAGTTTAAGGGAGATGTGCAAGGAAAGTTTTTCACACAAAGAGTGATAGGAGCCTGGAATGCACTGCCAGAGGAGGTCGTGGAAGCAGACACATTGGCGACATTTAAGAGGCATCTGGATGGTTACATGAATAGGGAGGGAATAGAGAGATATGGACCGAATAAAGGCAGAAGGTTTGTTTTTTAGTTTAGTTAGTGCATGATGATTGGCACAGGCTTGGAGGACTGAAGGGCCTGTTCCTGTGCCATACTTCTCTTTTGTTCTTTGGTCTATGTTCTATAAACTTTTTTCTACCTGAATAATCTGCACTGATCTGAAAGAAACTTGCACACTCTCTGACCATCTGGAAGGTTCACTCTTTCTAAAGCAAAACTATTCTGCCTCTATCTTTCTGTATCAAAGGACACCTTGATGCTAAATAACAGCCCAATTCTTCTGCCCTTGTTTTTCTAAAGTACTGAACTAATCACCTCAAGGTTTTTGTTTTATAAGAAAGGACCTAATTTAAATGTATATAAACACATTTCCAGTCTCTCAACACCACTATCAGAACTCAGAAATGAAACTAAGTTCTTTCCCTTATTGACACACACAATATAGAAGTACAAATGAAACTTAAATCAGTATATGGTTTTATCCACATTATAACCCATTACATGAACTTCATTAGAATACTACAGTAATCCAAATTCAGAATGCTTTCAAGAATGAACCTGCGCTTTGGGACCCTGTAATTTTAAATCTCTGTCATACTCTCAGCTTGACTTTTCCATCCCAAATATTTCTATTTTTTAACAAAAAAAATTTGTATTACTGACTCAAGTAGTCACACTCATCTTTAGCAGGAAGTCATAGGTTTAAGTAGCAGCAGTACCTGACTGTATAATATGGTCTGACACTCTGTACCGAGGTTTGGCAGCCTCTCAGCCATTATGTTGTGTTCAGTTCTAATCATCAGACTTCTGAAGGTCCTTGTGAAACTCCACAAAGATAAATCCAACAGTTTCAGCATTGTGGGGGAGGGGTTTGGGTTTAGTTACAAAGTTAGGTTAGAAAGGGTAAGATTGTTGTTCATGGAGCATGGGAAATTGGGTGGGATTTGATAGATTATGACACGTTTAGGCAACGTAAATAATAATAAACTCTTAATAGCTTATAGAACAAAGATGATGGGATACAGATATAAGATGTTGGCAAGGAAAGCAGGAGAATGTAAGGAGCACAATGTATGGTTATGACCTGGAACAAACAGCCAATGTGGATGGATGCAGAAACGACAAATGATTTCAAAAGGATTACAACAGGAAGGAAATAAAGCTGTAGTAACTGAGCTAGGGAGTGGGACTGACTGTAAACTACTCTATGACTCAACAATTCATGCGCGGTCATATGGTGAGGCCTTTGATGTCTGGTAAAAGAGATATTTGCAAAAGCCAAACAAATTTCTAAAAAATTTCCATCAGAGAGAGAACCCTGCAAGTACAGCTGTCAGACTGCTGCAGTCAGATAGCAGCCAAACAATTAATTATATTCAACTCGTCCATGCCGACCAGATATCCTAAATAAATCTAGTCCCATTTGCCAGCATTTGGCCCATATCCCTCTTAAACCCTTCCTCTTCATATACCCATCCAAATGCCTTTTAAATGTTGTAATTTACCAGCCTCCTCCACCACCTTTGGCAGTTCATTCCATACAGACACCACTCTGTGTGGAAAAAGTTGCCCCCGAGGTCCCTTTTAAATTTTTCCCCTCTCACCTTAAATCTCTGCCTTCTAGTTTTGGACTTCCTACCCTGGGCAAAAGACCTTGACAGTTCACCTTATCCATGCCCTTCACAATTTTATAAACTTCAAAAGGTCACTCCATAGCCTCCGACGTTCCAGGGAAAATAGCTGCAGCCTATTCAGCCTTTCTCTGTAGCTCAAGCTCTCCAACTATGGCAACATCCTTGTAAATCTTTTCTGAATCCTTTCAAGTTTCACAAGGGAGACAAGAATTGAACGCTGTATTCCAAAAGTGACCTAATCGATGCCCTGTACTGCTGCAACATGACCTCCCAACTCCTATACTCAATGCACTGACCAATAAAGGCAAGTGTACTAAATGCCTTCTTCACTATCCTGTCTACCTGGGACTCCACTTTCAAGGAACTATGAATCTGCACCCCAAGGTCTCTTTGTTTGGCTATGCTCCCCAGGACCTTATCACTAGGTGTATAAGTCCTGCCTTGACTTGCCCTACCAAAATGCAGCACCTCACATTATCTAAATTAAACTCCATCTGCCAATCCTCAGCCCATTTGCCCATCTGATCAAGGTCACGTTGTACTCTGAGATAACCTTCTTCACTGTCTACTACACCACCAATTTTGGTGTCATCTGCAAATTTCCTAACCACACTCCCATATTCATATCCAAATCATTTATATAAATGAGGTAGTCTTTTTAGTCAGAGGGTTATGAAGTTTTGGAATTCTCTATACAGAAGGCCATGGAGGCTGCGTCTTCTAGTATGTTTAGAGATTGATAGTTTTTTTCATTACAGGGTTGTAGGGATGAGGTGGGTAAAAAGCATTGGAGTGTTGATCAGCCATGATCATTTTAATTGACCTACATTTTTATGGTAGTTCATAAAGAACCTGCAACCTCTTCTGTTTATTGACCGCACCAACTGCTGTTCATTTCCTCTTTCTCTCTTTACGTTTTTGCTCGAACGATATATCAGAAATGTACCATGGGTCTACCATTGTCCAGTGATTCACCCTCCAGTAAGAGTTGACATGCTCAGTATTAGTCAGTCAGTTTATCATCTGAATTGTGAAGTACAAGTCTCTGGCATCTATGGAAAGAGGTGGACTTGTCTGAAGAAGTTACCAAGCTTGACACTGAGAAAATACAGGCAAAATTGCAAAGCAAGGAAAGTGATGGAAAAGAACAATTGAAGCACCTTTAAATGACCATCATTTGCAACACTTTTTAAAATACAGCATAGATTTGGACTTCTGCATTGTCCAGTTTTAGATGATCTTAGAACAAAGAACAAAGAAAATTACAGCACAGGAACAGGCCCTTCGGCCCTCCAAGCCTGCGCCGATCCAGATCCTCTGTCTAAGCCTGTTGCCTATTTTTCAAGGAACTGTATCCCTCTGCTCCCTGCCCATTCATGTATCTGTCCAGATACATCTTAAATGATGCTATCGTGCCTGCCTCTACCATCTCCACTGGCAACGCGTTCCAGGCACCGGCCACCCTCTGCGTAAAGAACTTTCCATGCATATCTCCCTTAAACTTTTCCCCTCTCACCTTGAAATCGTGACCCCTAGTAATTGAGTCCGCCACTCTGGGGAAAAAGCTTCTTGCTATCCACCCTGTCTATATCTCTCGTGATTTTGTAGACCTCAATCAGGTCCCCCCTCAACCTCTGTCTTTCTAATGTAAATAATCCTAATCTACTCAACCTCTCTTCATAGCTAGCGCCCTCCATACTAGGCAACATCCTGGTGAACCTCCTCTGCACCCTCTCCAAAGCATCCACATCCTTTAGGTAATGTGGTGACCAGAACTGTACGCAGTATTCCAAATGTGGTCGAACCAAAGTCCTATACAACTGTAACATAACCTGCCAAATCTTGTACTCAATACCCCATCCGATGAATGAAAGCATGCAGTATGCCTTCTTGACCACTCTATCCACCTGCGTTGCCACCTTCAGGGTACAATGGACCACGCATCTTGGTATAACCTGCCATGAAATTTATGTTTCCCAAATGCACAAAAGAGTATAATTTGACCTATGCTGCCTATGTTGAAGTGTTCTGCTTATAAGATGTAATTAAGATAGAATCTATTTTAGAGATCTGCAGCACAGGCAAAAAAGGCCATTCGGCCCATTGCGTCTGCACTAGTCAAAAATAACCACCTATTCTAATCATATTTTCCACACTTGGCCAAAACCTTGTGCACTTGAAATGGCAAGGAATATATTTAAATACTTAAGTGTTATGAGGATTTCTGCCTCTACCAACCTTGGAGAGTTCTAAATTTCCACCACCTTCTGAGTGAAAATGTTTTTCCCCACATTTTCTCTAAACCTTCTGCCCCTTCTCTTAAACGTATGCCACTGGTCAATGATCCCTCCATCAAGTGAAAAATTTCTTTCCGAGTACCCTATGTCCCCATAATTTTATACATCTCAGCCATGTCCCTCTCAGTCTTCTCTGCTCTAAGAAAAGCAACCCAGTCTGCCCAACCTCTCTTCAGAATTGAAACCTGGCAACATCCTGGTATTTCACCTCTTCTCCCTCTCCAGTGCTATCCCAGGATGGCACACAATATTCTGGTTGTGGCCTGGCCTTTTATCCATCTGTCCAGATACCTTAAGGGACCAGTATACATGCACACCAACGTCCCTCTGATCCTTGGTACTTCCCAGGATCCTATTGTTAATCATGTATTCCCTTGTCTTGTTTGTCCTGCCCAAATGCATCACCTCACATTTATCCAGATTAAATTCCATTTGCCACTCATCAGCCATCTAACCAGCTCATCTATATCCTTCTATAATCTAAGATTATCCTCGTAACTATTTATCCCCCCACTGATTTCTTTTTGTATCATCTGCGATGGATGGTTGACTTAATATGGTGAATTCTATTGCATTTTATTCTTGTCTGAAATAAAGTGTAACTCCGTGTGTTTAAAGGAACGATTGCTGATTGCAGACATGGCTCTTGCAAACTGTGAATTCATGTTTGAGGAAACTAGAAAGTATGTGAGACAGAGAAAGGCTTTTGGAAAAACTGTTGCTGATTTGCAGGTGAGTTTATATTCTATGACATTCAAGAAAATCAGTCAACTAAATTTAATGTTCACTTCTGGAAGAGATAATAAGATTGTATGAAATTAAAAGTTTGGTGAATGAACAGAATTTGACAAACTGGTTAGTTTGCAGCAATTGACATTGAATTTGACGAATTCTTAACAATAATGTTGTGAAAGAGATTGGTTCTTACATTTGTGAAAACTTTCCATTAAAATGATAAACCTTTTTCTTTGCTCAGAAATGGGATGTGGATTTCCACATGGTATCTATTTCTGGAATTATTGTGTTTCTTTTAATCCTTCTTCATCAAGGGTTTTGAGTAGTTACATAGTTGCCAGAAACACTTCAATAATTTATTCAAATAATCAATCTTTATGTGTGAACTTTGACAATGAATATTTGCTCACTGTTCCATCTCTATGGGCAGTATCGCTGTGATCGGTCTTGTACAAAATCTTGATGGACTTTCTAGCCTTGAACTTTGTTTGGAAATGGGACCACCAATTATTCCCATTGTTCCTATTCTGTTGCCCTTTGTGCCCGGCATGAACTGGAAGATAAATCTAGGACCTTGTAGTGTATGTGACTTTTGTGGATTTTTAATTTCCTTTGGAAAATGATTGTGATAGACTTCAATCTGACACTAACACAAAAGCTCTGAATGATCAAGAGGAATGGGGCCAAAAAGGCCTTTTGAGATAGATAATCAACTTTGATCATATTGAATGATAGAACAAGTTCAGTATGCCAAATGGCTTGCTCAAGCTTATTTTTTGATCTTTTATAAGCAAGGAGTTGATCTAACAAATTGAAATGTCATTGTCAAGGCAATTCAAGCATTCCACCACAATTAACTTTGGAGGGGAGGATAAAGCATAATGAAATAAAAATTTAGTTCTTGTCAGCTAACTAAAGATTGCTTTTTATTTGCTTTCTGTTTGATGAGCAATTTTTAAAATTAAGTGAAACAGCTGTTGTTGACACTTAAGATAATCTTTAATTTATCTGAAATCTTACGATGAAGTATTAGAAATGCTGTTACCAATTTGCTATCTAATCATGAGACAATGCTCTGGAAATTATGGTAAGGGGTTCTTCTTCCTTTCACTTGTAGACTGTGCAGCATAAACTGGCAGAAATAAAGACACAGACTTGTGTGGGGAGAGCATTCGTTGACAGCTGTCTGCAGTTGCATAAAGAACGACGACTGGATTCAGCTACGGCTTCCATGGCCAAATACTGGTATTTGTGCTGCATTGATTTCTATGTGTACTTCAGTCGAGTTCTTCAGTAGTATAAAGGCTTAATGCTGTCATTAGTTCACTCCAGTAAAAATATTAAGGCTTGTTACTTTAATTTTCAGGGTATGCTGCTATTAGTACTTCAGTACTGAGTTATGATACTGTGAACATTTGATGGAACTACTCCATCCCTGCTAGAATTTTTGCCACGAGTATTGGTAAATAAGAAAAAAATTGATTTTGATGTTTACATTGCATAATCATAGGGAGTCCCAAGGCTTTTCACAACAAATGAAGTATTTTTGAAGTGTAGGCACTGTTGTAATGTAGGGAAAGTTTCTGTATAGAAATGTTTATTCCATGTCCACTTGAACTCTGTATGAACAGTGAGGGGTAAAATTTCTTTTGCAAATTTTGACCTTGAGAACTTGGCTTCTAACAGGAGGTTATTTTGAGTTAGGCGATTAGAATTTTGTGACTAGTGGTGTGAGGTGTTAAATGTTCTGTGCTGAATCCTCACCACAGTCCATCATATTGTATGAGCTCACTGGATTCTCAGTTTCCATAAGGTAGATTTGCTGCCACCATCCTCCTTTTAGGATCTACAGGGCCTGCTTTGTCTACTGTTGTAGAGGAAAACCATGAGTAGCCTAAAGAGAAAGGGGTCTTGAATTAAACAAGATGCAGTTTATTGCATGATAGCAATCAGATACATGTTACATTGGTATCATATACATTGTTACTATAGTATGAGGAGACCTAGATGGTAGAACTATCTCCTTAAAGATTCAGATCTGTTTCCCAAACCCATGATGTTATGACTTTATCACATTGAGTGGAGATTAATGGACTGCTCAGCATTAGACCTTTCAGAACCAAATACCTTATGCAACAGTAAAGTGGTGTTGTGACCCTGATAGGAAGAGTATGCTGATCGTCAAGCACCACCGATTCACAATCTGCCATAAGTGTATAAATAACTGAATCACTAAGACAAGTAATTGACATGACTTTTTACTGTTGTCCAGGACAAAACAAACTCTAACGAAGTTTATCAATTAAACAAGAAGACAAACCTTACTTATTACAAACAAGCTTATCATTTTTAACAAGTGGCAAAACAGATTATTAACTGTGCAAACTTAAGCTATAACCCCTTTAAATCCAAACACTGATACACTCATTCATAAACAAGACAGACAAGACAGTTTTCCAGAAATATAATAGGTGGAAACATAGGTAAAAAGGAAAAACATTCTGTGTAAGTAGAGTCCAAATAACAAGGATGGAATGTCATGACTTTTTCAAAGTCCTTTTGATTTTTGGTGATGATTTCACATTGTTATTGATCGTAGAAGCTCCTCAATTCAGCTTCTGGTCAGTTGGACCTAGGACTTTGCATGAGTTAGAAGTTCTTCCTTTCGGGGTCTTTGTATGCAAGTTTTCCTCCACTCTGAGGTTGTGACCTGTATTAGCTTACAACCTTTCTGGAGGTATGAGTGGAACTGCCCCCTCTCAGTTCTGTGACAAACTGCAACTTACCTATCCAAAATTTGTTGCTAGGTTTTTCAGCCCAAAAGCATTTGTTGCTGTCTTGACTACCAGAAGTATCAAATCCAGGTGCTCCAAAAGTGTAACCAATAAGTGAACATCTGTAGATTTACTTTTAACATTTGAGTTGTTTTAAAAACAACTGGTTCATTCTCTGCAACACAGCAGTGCCAAAACTTCCATTTTCTTTCCAATTTATATTCTGAACGAATATATGTAGTCCTTATGGTGGTTATGTTAGTAGTATGTAAAATCACTGGACTGATAATCCAACAGGGAACATGGGTTCAAATCCCACCATGTCAGCTGGAAAAACTTAAAATTGAATTGATAATTCTGGAATGTAAAGTTTCACACAACAGGGCTGCCAATGAAAACATTGTTTGTTGTCATAAACAACCAAACGGAGAAGAAAAACCTGCCATCCTCACCTGCTCTGCCGTACATATGACTACAGACCTAGAGTGATGTGATTGATTCTTAACTTCCTCTGAAATAGCCTAACAAGACATTCAGTGATGTTAAACTTCAACAAAGTAAAAAATGAATGAAACTGCACATATTACCCAGCCTCAATCCAGGGACTGGAAACAACTGAGGCAAAGCCACTCCTGCAGACCCTGTAAAGTCCTTCTTGCTAACATATTCAGGGCTACATGCTAGTCAAGGAGCTGCCTGATAGTGATATATGTGGAATCACACCCTACAGATGGGAATTGTTAAAGACACTATCTACCACCATCACTCCTGGTATGTCCTGTTCATTGGCAGCACAATGGTATATAGTCATAAAGGAGTTGATTTGGGGCCCCTCAACATTGAATACAGACCCCATGAATGTAAAGTTTTATGGCTTCTGGTCAAACGTGGGCAAGGAGGTTTTTTTTTTAACTTCAGTTGTGCGACATGAGTGTCACTGGCTAGATAACATTTATTGTCCATCCTTATGTATGCAGTGGTGAGCTGCCTTCTTGAACCACTGCAGTCCACGTGCTGTCAGTTGATTGACAATGCTGTTAGGGAGGGATTTCCAGGATTTTGACACATTGTCAGTTTAGGAATGGCAATATATTTCCAAGTCAGGATGGTGAATGGCTTGGAGGGGAACTTCAGGTGTTGGTGTCCTATGTATCTACTGCCCTTGACCTTCCAAACGGAACTAAGTGGATGGGTTTGGAAGGTGCTGTTTCAGCATCTTGGGAAATTTCTGCAGTGCAACTTGTAGCTCTCACAGCTGTTACTGACTTTCAGTGGTGGAAGACATGGGTATTGGTGCCAGTCAAGCAGGTTGCTTTGACAACACTTCTTGAGTGTTGGTAGAGCTACATTTCATAGAATTATAGAATTCCTACAGTGCGGAAACAGGTCCTTAGGCCCAACAAGTCCACACTGACCGTCAGAGCATCCCACCCAGACCCATCCCCCTATAACCCACCTAATCTACACATCCCTGAACACTAAGAGCAATTTAGCATGGCCAATCCACCTAGCCTGCGCATCTTTGGACTGTGGGAGGAAACCGGAGCACCCGGAGGAAACCCATGCAGACACGGGGAGAATGTACAGACTCCACACAGACAGTCACCCGAGGGTAGAATCGAACCCAGGTCTCTGGTGCTGAGAGGCAGCAGTGCTAACCACTGAGCCACCGTGCTGCTCTGAGCTTCCAGTTGCCTGCCATTTTAACACACCATCCTGTTCCTTGGCCAACATCTTTGCTGCAGTGTTCCAGTAAGCTCAATGCAAGCTGGAAGAACAACACCTCATTTTCCGGAGACCTCCAGCTCTCTGGACTCAATATCGTGTTCAATCATTTTGGGGCCTAAATTCTCCATTGTCCTAGCCCCCTACCCTACACACCAGACGATATTATCACATAGTCTGCCATTACACACTATCTATTGTTAGTTACTAACAGCCCCATTAACAGCTATTCACCCTCCTAGCCAGATCGTTATCAACTGCTTTGTCTATCCAACTGTTCTTCTCTCTCTTCGGATTGTATTTCAGAACAATCTGTAATCTCATGGCCTGGCATATCTCCCACTCAACCATTACCAACAAACCAGGGGATCAACCCTGGTTCAATGGAGAGTGCTGGAGGGCACGCCAGGAGCAACACTAGGCATACCTGAAGATGAGGTATCAACCTGGTGAAGCCACCAAGCAGGACTACTTGCACGCCAAACAGGGAAAGCAGCAAATAATAGTCTAAGCTAAGCGATCCCACAACCAGAGGATCAGATCTAAGCTCTACAGACCTGCCACATCCAGTCGTGAATGGTGGTGGTCAATTAAACAACTCATTGGAGGAGGAGGCTCCATAAATATCCCCATCCTTAATGATAGAAGAGCCCAGCACATCAGTGCAAAGGATGAGGCTGAAGCATTCGCAGCAATCTTCAGCCAGAAATGCTGAGTGGATGATCCATCTCGGCCTCCTCCAGTGGTCCCAGCATTACAGATACCAGTCTTCAGCCAATTCAGTTCATGCCACGTGATATCAAGAGATGGTTGGAGACACTGGATACTGCAAAGGCTACGGGACTTGACGACATTCTGGCAATAGTAATGAAGACTTGTGCTCCAGAACTTGCCGCTCCCCTAGCCAGGCTGTTCCAGTACAGTTACAAACACTGGTATCTACCTGACAATATGGAAAATTGCCCAAGTATGTCCTGTACACAAAAAGCAGGACAAATCCAACCTGGCTAATAACTGCCCTGTCAGTTTCCTCTCAATCTTCAGTGAAGTGATGGAAGGTATCATCAACAGTGCTATCAAGCAGCACCTGCTCAGAAATGACCTGTTTGGTGATGCCAGGGCCACTCAGCTCCTGACCTCATTACAGCCTTGGTTCAAACATGGACAAAAGAGCTGAATTCCAGAGATGAGATGAGAGTGACAGCCCTTGATATCAAGGCTGCATTCGACAGAGTGTGGCATCAAGGAGCCTTGGCAAAACTGGATTCAATGGGTATCGGGGGCAACTCTGCAGTGGGCGGAGTCATACCTGACACACCGGCTAATAGACGTGGTTGTTGGAGGTCAATCATCTCAGCTCCAGGACATCTCTGCAGGAGTTCCTCAGGGTAGAGTCCTAGGCCCAACCATCTTCAGCTGCTTCATCAATGACCTTCCCTCCATTATAAGGTCAGAAGTAGGAATGTTCGCAGATGATTGCACAATGTTCAGCACCATTCGTGACTTCTCAGATACTGAAGCAGTCCATGTTCAAATGCAACAAGATCTGGACAATATCCAGACTTGGGCTGACAATTGGCAAGTGACATTTGCGCCACACTAATGCCAGACTATGACCATCACCAATAAGAGACAATCTAACCACCACCCCTTGACATTCAATGGAGTTGTTATCACTATCAACATCCTGGGGGTTATCATTGACCAGAAACTCAACTAGACTCACCACATTAATACAGCGGCTGC